CCTCTCCAGGTTCCCTGCACCCCCTTCAGGCACTGGAGCTGCTCTAAGGTCTCCCCTTCAGGAGCCTTCTCTTCTCCAGGCTGCCCCAGCCCAGCTCTCTCAGCCTGGCTCCAGAGCAGGGATGCTCCAGCTCTTACAGCAGCTCCGTGGCCTCCTCTGGACTCACTCCAGTGGCCCCCCATCCCTCTTGTGTTGGGGTCCCCATTGCTCAATGCAAAGAAAACCTCAGCATTGGAGGGTTTGACCTGAAGGTATCAATTCGGGTGGACTGTGCCAGGAGTGAGCAGCCAAGATCCCCCCACTGGGACCCTTCCCTGGCCACAGAGCAAGTGCTCTCAGGCCTTGACCTGCGTATCCTGGAAGTGGGAAGACTCCAGGCACAGCCCCTGGGAGAGCCATGCCAGCAGGTTCCTCCCGTCCCCCATTCCCAGATGGATCCATTGCTCCAGCCCAGATGGGTTCCTTGTGCTGGGGCTGATTCATGCCTGCATGTGGAAACATTCCCCCTGGTTGGGGCAGTGCTGGGAGGGGGCAGCAGCCACAATCCCAGCTGCAATCCAGGTTGGGATGCTCTGAGCTCGAGGCACGTCTGAGCCCCAAGGCTGGCTCCTCCCTGCTCCTCCCTTTGCCTGGGATAGGGTTGGAATGGTGCCACCCCAGCCCTTTGCAGCAGGGATGCCCATGAGGAGGCTTTAGGGAGGGGGAGAGGGCAGTGGGGCTGGGGCTGTGCCCATGGGGGGGACAGGGACCAGCATCACCCCCCTGGGAAACACCGTGTGGGGCTGAGCTGTGCGGGTGCAGAGGGAAGCACCCACGTTGCAGAGCTGCCCTTCCCAGGGGCTTCACCCACGGATGGGAATTTGGGGAGTGGGAGGTCAAATCTTAGGGACTCTGGGTGCATGCACCCCAACCACTGCAACTGCTCATTAGGACCGGTGTTAATCACCCTGCCCTTTGGCGGTGGCATGTTGTGCAGCTTTGCTGCAATGGCTGTGGACACTTGGCCCATGGCAGCATCCATGGGAAAGGCTGGGAAGGGAAACCAAGGAGAAGGAGAAAGCTGCTGTGGAGTGATCCAGGCCATGGGGCTGAATCGTGCTGAGTGGCTCTTTAGAGCCATCAAAACCTGATTGTTCTGGCAGAGGCTGCTAAGGCAGGTGGGGATGGCCGGGGCTGGGACCAGTGGGGCTGCTGCAGTTAAAAGCTCCAGGAGAGATTTCGCCTGATAAAGAGAATAATCCAAGAGCTGCTGCAAGCAATCGGATTCCTGGAGAGAGAAAACAGCCACCCCGGGAGGAGCCTGGGCAGCGGCCATGGGAACCGGGCTGAGCATCCTGGAGCAGCCTCTGCTTCCCACTGTTGATCCCCACGGAGCCCTGCATCCAAGATCCTGCAGCAGATCCAAGTTTCCAGTTTGCCGGTTGCCTTTTGGTTGGTTTCCTGCACCCAGCTCCCCCATTCCCGTTGTCCCATCGCCCTCCGGGAGCAGGAGCTGGGCTCTGAGCGAGTCCCCCTCTCCTGCAGCTGCAGCAGCGTCTGCAGCTCTTCTGCCTCCTCGGAGAGGGGGAGCAAACGGCTCTTGGGAGATGAATAATTGATCAAAAGTCAAGGGAAAAGGCACATTCCATCTCTGGGTTTGGGGGGGATGGAACGAGGGACAGCGGATGGATCCTGGAGCATTTCCCTGTGCTGCTGCGGATGCAAAGGGAGACCCCAGGGTCCCACCGTACAGCACGGCAATGGGAAGATGAAATGATTTCGGGAGGTAGGAGCTCCACTCCACATCCCCCTTTCCTCCCAAAATAGCAATTCCCATCTCCACCAAACAACGCAGGATCTTCACCTGCGTTCACAGCACCAACAATCCGGCGCCGCCAGCACTGGGGGCGGATTCTGGGGAGCACGTTCCGGGTGTGAAATCCACAGCGGCTGGAGCCGGCGCTGTGTCCCGGCTGCTCCCCAGGGCTCCGCACAACCGGGATTGGGCTGCTTTGCTCCGAGGGCACCACAAGGGACGAGGCCGGAGCCGGGCCGTGGCGCCGCGGTGACCAAGGGATGCATCAGCGTGCGGTGAGCAGAGTGTGAGGAGCAGCGTGTGCTGCCCCAAGCGGGGTCACCAGGGAGTCCTGCCCATTGCCCTGCTGAGCACCGGGGCTGAGCCGCCCGACCCGTCTGGGAGCTCTGGGGTGGCGCAGGAAGCGTCTGCTCCTGGGGCGCATTCCTCCTCCCAGCACGCCTGAGGCTGCTGCTCCGCTGGGATGAGCCCTTCTGGCTCTTGGGGATGGTGGGATCCGGGACCCACAGCCCCACTTACAGGATCCCAGAGTGTTTTCAGTTGGAAGGGACCTTAAAGCTCCTCCAGTTCCAACCCCTGCCACGGGCAGGGACCCCTTCCACTGGAGCAGCTTGCTCCAAGCCCCTGTGTCCAACCTGGCCTTGAGCACTGCCAGGGATGGGGCAGCCACAGCTTCTCTGGGCACTTGAGCACAGCCGTTGCATTTATCCACCAGTGCCATCTCTGGACCCCACAAGGGTGCACATGGGGGGAGAGAAGACAAAGCTGTACCAGGGCAGTGGGTACTGGTTTCCAGTATATCCTTTATTCCCACAGTGCCCAGCATTAGCCTGGCCCGGCCACAGCGTTACTGAGTGCTTTGTGCCCTCATCCCAAGCCAGTGCTCACATCTTTGAGGCCTTGACTGCTGCATCCATGGGCTCTATGAACCCCAGTGTCCAAGTGCTTCCTCCTGCCCTGCATTCCCCACGCCTGGATCCGGCCAGGCAGGGCTGCAGGGCAACACGTGCTCCTTTAGAGCCACGTCCCAAGTGTCCATCCACGAGTGTCACCACACCCCGCGCCGTGTTCTGCGCTGCGGCACACCCCGGCGCTGGAGGTGCTCCTGGAAACAGCCGCCGGGAAGCCGGGAGACGCTTTGGGATGAGATCTGAAAACTGGGGGGGGAGAGGTGCCCGTGGGGCTGCCGGGACCCCGGGCCGACCGGGGCGACGGGCTCGGATGAGCCTGGGGCCCTGGCCCGGCGCAGCCGCTCCCCGGGTCCCGTCGCTGGTGCGGGGCGCTTGGCTGTGCCGTCGGCCGGAGCGGTTTATCCTGCTCCGCTCCTGCGGGGCGGCCGGGGCTGTCCTGCAGCTCCAGCACCCCCAGGGGCTCCTGCTGGTGACCCTGCCTGCACCTCGGCTGCTGCTGGGACTGAGTCGGCTGGGGCTCGGATGCCTCCTGGCCCCGCAGGTGAGGCCCTGGGCAGCGCACGCTGTTCCCACTCTGCCCTTTCCAGCCTTTTTATTCCCTGCTCCTGGCCTCCCACCCGCGCCATGCTCCCTGCGCGGCTGCTGGCCCCGATCGATGGTGTTCTCATTACCCTGCGCCTAGAGGGCATCCGGAGGATGGGGTGGAAGGGGAGGTTATGGGGAGGCAATGGGGTGCCCGGGGAGGAGGGGGGGGCGCTGTATGGGCTATGGGAGGCTGATGGGTGGTTTGGGGGTGCAATGGGGGTGCGGGGTGAGGTAAGGAGGTGACGGGCACCGGGGTCAGGGAGAGCCGGGGGGGGAACCCGGGCAGGCGGGTGCCGGTGCCCTGAGCTGCGCGGGGCGGGAGGCGGCCGGGACCCCCCCGCCGCTCCGTTGCCGCCCCGGTGGGCAGGGCCGGGGGAGGCGCCGCGGCGGCGGGAGCGCTCGGCGGGGCCGGGAACGGGACCGGGAGCGGCTGCGGGGCCGGGAGCGCCGCGTCCTGCCCGCGCCGAGCCGCCGGGGCCGGTGCTGGGGCCGGGGCTGGAGCATCGGCGGGGGGTGAGCGGGGCCGGGACTGCGGGAGCAGCGGCGCGCACCCCGGGAAGGGCGGCGGATGGAGCGGGGATGGGCAGGATCGGAGCGGGGGATGGAGCGGGAAGGGAAGGAGACAGGGATGGAGCGGGGAAAGGCGGCGGATGGGGATGGGGATAGGGATGGAGCGGGGAGGGGGGGCAGCAGCCGCCGGCGCTGTGCTGGGGCTGCGCGCACCGGACGATGCTCGGGGGGGAGACATAGAACGGCGGGGGGGGGGGGGGCGGGCCAGCGCCGTGTGCCCCGCAGCGCCGTGCCCGCATCCGCTGCTCCCGCACCTGCTGCAGCCCCAGCCCCGCACCCCCGGCCCTGCACCCCCCCGAACCCCCTCTCCGCCCCCCTAAGGACCCGCATCCCCCGCATCCCCACATCGGCGGGTCCCCAAAAGCAGGGCGAGGGCTGAGCCCCCCTCAGTGCCGGTGTCGGGGGGGGGGGTGCGCGGGTTTGGGCCGCGGTTCCCTTTTTGCAGCTTTTCAATGGGGGGTGAATGACTCATGGAATCCTTTCTCCCTCCCTCCCTCCCTCCCGACGGGTTTTTGGGTCTCTTTGTTCCTGTTTTGCCGATTAAAATGATGCTCATCGGGAAGGGCTCGGCGCGATGGAGGCGGCTCCTGTGCCGCCGCGCATCGGTTGTAGGAGTCTCAGTCATTTCGTGTGCATTTTTCCTGCTGGAGCTGGAGGACACAATGAGAATGGGTTTAAATATGTCTCACGCAAGGTGCTCATTTCCCAGCGTGTGAAAGCAACGCAGCTCACCCCGGGTACCACAGAAAACCCGACCATTCCCCCCCCCTCCACCATTAATGGGCTTCCTTAAAGCTATTCCCACTCGGAGAGGGGGAAAATCCTGTAGGTACAAAGGGCAGCGCCGATGCGGTGGCTTCTTGTACCGAGCACAAAGAAACCGAACCCGAAAGGTTGGACTGTGCTTTGTGGGGGTGAGCTGGGGATGCCAGCGTGAGCGTTGCTGGCAGACGGGTGCCTATGCCATCATCCCTGGGATCCCCACCAGTGGGGAAACTGAGGCAGCAATGGGGAGCTCCAAGAGCCAACATTCACCTGCCCAAGAAGATGCTTGAGAGGCGTGAGGGTAGAGGCGTCCGCAATGGGACGATCCCTTCTCCATCACCACGGGCACCGATGCGCTGTTTCCTCCTCTGCAGGGTGCTGCCCGTGGGGACGCGCTGCCCGTGGCCCTGCCCGCGCTGCTGCCCGTGCCCGGGGCCATGTCATCCTCCGACGAGGAGACCCTGAGCGAGCGGTCGTGCCGGAGCGAGCGGTCGTGCCGCAGCGAGCGTTCCTACCGCAGCGAGCGCTCGGGCAGCCTCTCGCCCTGCCCCGCCGGAGATACCCTGCCCTGGAACCTGCCCCTGCATGAGCAGAGGAAGAGGAAGAGCCAGGACTCGGTGCTGGACCCGGCCGAGAGGGCGGTTGTCAGGGTCGCAGGTAAGGCAGCGCCACGCTAGGGCCCTCCAGGGATGGGCAATGGGGGTTCTTTCACTGCCCCCATGGTGGCTGAGGGTCTGGGGGCATCGCTGCTGCTCCTTGGGAAGCTGGGTATGCATGGGATTGACACGGACGGGATGGGGTGTAGGGAAGGATGGATGTGGCCAGGGTAAACACAGCTCTGTGATGGCTTTGTCCTGCTTGGCCCCGGGTTGCTCATACCCTCAGCACGCTGGAGTTAAGGGATGACTGGGCACCTCCAACGCTTGGCTTGGGTGACATTAAAATGCTTAATGAAGGCCTAAATGGATCCTTGGAGGAACAAAGCCATTGGCCAGGCTCCCGGGAGGAATTTGCCCTGGGAGGTTTGTGACTCCCTTGGCTGGTGAAGCTGGAGCTGCTCCTTTGTCATGGTGGTGGTGCCCGTGGGCACCCCCATCATTGGTCATTGGGGTGATCTGGGGTCCCTGCATTGTGGAGGGGACCCTGCCCATGCGATGCCCACCCTGGGGGAAGGGGCAGGGACAGGAAGGAGAAACAAAGGCAGGGATAACCCCGCCGTAGCTCATGGCTCCTCCAAGCACCGGTTGACGGGGCTGGCTGTTGTATTGGGAGGATGGAGAAGCTTTGCCCAAGGTGGTGGCTCCACCACTGGGATTTGCTTCTCCTCTCAAGGCAAATGGACACCGGAGGCTTTGGTTTGTGGCTGATGGGTCTGGCCCCTTCTCCTCCTGCTCTGGGGGGTCTTTGATCTGCTCCTGCTGGAGCAAACAGGGATTTGGGGCTGTGCCCGTGGGCAAACGTGGGATCCCCAGGGAGCAGGGGACCTGCACACGGGGCAAGGTTGCTCCATCCCAGCTCATGGGTGGCTCGGGGCAGGAAGAACCAGTTGATTCAAATGATGCTCCTCCAAAGCGCCCCGGCTGGGGCTGGGAGAAGCAAATGCACAGGGTGCGGCCGGGCCTATCCACTGCACCCACCATGCCCCCCCCCGCTCAAGGACCAGCTCTGCCCCCAAAGCCCCATCCTGCTGTGCTGTGTCCTGTGCCCCAGAGCTGGACCCTGCCGGCACAGCCACATCCCAATCCATGTGTTCCCTGGGATGCTTGTTGTCACCGTGGCTGTCTCCATCCCATGATTAAAGCCTGGGAGATGTCACCAAATCCAGTCTCACGCAGCTTCCCCATTAAAAATAACTCTGGAGGTGCAGCTCCACAGTGCTGAGTTGGGAAGAAAGAGTTTGGAGACAGTTTTGTGTCACCGGGTTTGAAAACGAGCTGAAATATTGATTCAGATCCTGCATTATTCAGTGGGTCTGTCTGCAGCATGCGGTCCTGTCCCCACCATGGGGCTCCAGCACCTGGAATGCTGCTGGCGGGATGTCCCATGGGGAAAGGGCACTGGGAACCCAGAGCTTGGGTTTGGGGGACACATGGGTGTGGGGTCTGGTGGTCTCTGCATCCCTCTGGCCATCAGAGCCAAGGGATGCTGGATGTGGTGGTGCCGTCCTGCAGCGCAAGGGGCACCTCGGTACCTCTGTGCTGGGCTCCCAGGCAGCCTCTGGAGTCGTTCCCTGCGTTGCTGGCACATCCCTGCAGGCTGTGGCACAGTGGGGAGCAGGATGGGGGGTGAGAGTCGCTGGGTCTCGCTCCAGCCGCTTGGCAGAGGGTGAGAGGGTGGTGGTTGGAGGGGGTTTGGAAGAAAAGGCTCTTTTACCCCAAACCTGTTGGCACTTGATCCTGGTGCTGGGGGGTGCTGGTGCAGGAGGGACCGTGGTGATGGAGAGCCAAGAGCTGTGGCTGGGGCTTGCCAAGGGCTGAGCTTGCTCCCATTGCAAAGGCTCCCGGGAGCCCTTTGTCCCCAGGAGCGTCCTCCGGTGCTTGGCCCAGCGCAGGGACATGTTCTTCATCCTCGGGACGTGGGAACAAACCTCCTCCTCCTCGGGATGGGGCAGGGGCCCAGCTGCTGTCCCCATGCCCAGCACAGGGATTCAGCAGTGCAACAAGGGCCTTACCTCCCAGTGCACCCAGTGCGACCAAAGCACTGTTTCCCACTGTGCCCAGAGCGCTGCATCCCAGAACTCCCAGCTCATCCCAGTGCATCCCAGCACAGCTCAGTGCAGCCCAACGCATCCCAGTGAGCACAGAGCGCTGCATCCCTGTGCATCCTTGTGCAACCCAGTGCATCCCAGCTCATAAGATCTCACAGGGAGCCAGTCCCCTCGGCCTGGGAGGGTCTGGGGGGAATTGGGGGTCCCCCCAGTGATTCCAGACGTGGCAGAATGAAGCCTCCCACAGAAATGGGGGCACGGGGGGGGCGGCATCCCCAGGATCCCCCCTCGTCCATCCCCTCCCCTCATTGTCCCTTCCCCCCCTCATCCCAAGGGCACCCGAGGTTGGATCCATCCCCCTTCACTCCCCCCTCCCCGTTTTTTGGCCACCACAAGATGCTGCTTTTTCACCCCGTTGCCATGGCAACCGGCGGGCCGGGCTCCCCAGCTGGGTTACCATGGCAACGAGAAAAGCCCCATCCTGCTCAGCCCAGACATCAGGAGTCTCCCACTGTCACCCGGGGACCCCCAAACTCTCCACTGGCACTTCAGGGATGCGCTAGGATGCAGTGCCCTGGGCTCATTGGAATGCACTGAGATGCCAGGGCTGTGCTGGGGTGTGCTGGGATGCTCTGGGATGTGCTGGGATGTGCTGGGATGCAACTGGGATACACTGGGAAGCAGAGGGATGTGTTGGGATGCAATGTTCTGGACTCACTGGAATGTGTTTGGCTGCACTGGGCTACACTGTGATGAGCTGGGATGCACTGGGATGTGCTGTGCTGTGCTGAGCTGGGATGCGGTGCTCTGGGCACAGTGGGAAGCAGTGCTTTGGCTGCACAGAGTGCACTGAGAGCGCTGGGAGGTAATGCCCTTGTTGCAGCAGGATGTGCTGGGATGCACTAGGATGCAGTGTGCTGGGATGCACTGGGATGCAGTGCACTGGAATGCACTGGGATGAGCTGGGATTCACTGGGATGAGCTGGGATGCAGTGCTCTGTGTACAGTGGGAAGCAGGGCTTTGGTTGCGCAGAGTGGTAATGCCCTTGTTGCAGTGGGAGTTGCTGGGATGTGAGGGGTTGCATAGGGATGCTGTGCATGCAGTGCACTGGGCTTCACTGAGATGTGCTGGGCTTCACTGGGATGTGCTGGGCTGCACTGGGATGAGCTGGCTTGCACTGGGATGTGCTGGGCTGCACTGGGCTGAGCTGGGATGAACTGGAATGTGCTGGGCTGCACTGGGATGAAGTGCTCTGGGCACAGTGGGAAGCAGTGCTTTGGTTGCATGAAGTGTACTGGGAGCACTGGGAGGTAATGCCCTTGTTGCAGTGGGAGGTGCTGGGATGTGAGGGGATACACACGGGATGCCATCCATGCAGTGCACTGGGCTGCACTGTGATGAGTTGGGATGCACTGGGATGTGCTGGGCTGCACTGGGCTGAGCTGGAATGCACTGGATGTGCTGGGATGCACTGGATATGCTGGGCTGCGCTGGGCTGCAGTGCTCCGGACACAGTGGGAAGCAGTGTTTTCACTGCACAGAGTGCACTGGGAGGTAATGCCCTTGTTGCAGTGGGAGTTGCTGGGATGAGCGGTGATGCACGGGGATGCACTGGGCTGTGCTGTGATGAGCTGGGATGTGCTGGAATGCACTGGGATGCCGTGCATGCAGGGCACTGGGATGCGCTGGGCTGCACTGGGCTGCACTGAGATGCACTGGGCTGCACTGTGCTGGGCGCACTGTGCTGCAGCACCCGTGTCACCGGGCTCGCTGGCAGCTCCGGTCGCCGCCGTGGAGCTCGGCGGGGCAGAGCGGCCCCGGGCGGCGGTGTCGGCCCCGGGGTGTCCGCCCGCCAGGAGGCGCTGCAGGGCCGGGGCGGGTGTAAGGGGGCGGAGCCACAGACGACAGGAGGGCGGAGCCAAACTATAGGCGGGGCCTCTGGATGTGGGCGGAGCCATCTTTAGTGGGCGGAGCCGCGGGTGGGGCGCGGCGCGGGCGGAAGCGGTGTCGCGCAGACCGGCCCCGTCCGCCGCGCCGGCAGCAGGAGCACCGGGGCCACCGGCACAAAGGCCGCCATGGCCGGGTACGTGCCGGGGCTGCTCCCGGTCGACCGCAGCCAGGAGAAGGAGTTCGTCCAGGCCTACGAGGACGTGTTGGAGCGCTACAAAGGTACCCGCGGCCGACGGGGCCTGGAGCGAGGCGGGGGCTGAGCCGGTGCACCCGGTGGGGCGGGATGGCCGGGCCCGGCGTTCCCGGTCTCCCCTTGTGTGGGGCCCTCGGGGGTCCCCGGCACCCCAGCACCTCACGTTCCCTCTCAGAGCACCGCAGCATCCTTCATCCCTGTGCCCGCACCCAGGGGAGGTGTGAGCCGCACGGGAGCCCCTCACCCTGCCCCGGTGTCCCCGCAGCCCCCCGCGGGGCAGTGGCTGGGCAGGGGTAAGGACTGATGCTGTCCGGGGGCTGTGGCGGTGCCGGTACCGGCGGTGAGTGTGCAGTTTTGATGTCAGCGGCTCTTCAGCAGGACTTGAGTTCCATTCCAGCCTTGGTGGTGGTGGTTTTCCCTCCTCGCTGCGGAGGGAGGCTTGTGGAGCCCACATTCAGCCCCACAGGGCTCTCTCTGCGCGCTCTGGTTTGTGAGCTTAGCAGCCAAGACTCTGTGAAATGCGGATGGCCGAGGCCAGCGGAGCCAGGAGCCCGTTTCCTTTTCCTTTCTGCCTGCGGGGAAAGGGGAATAATGGATTCCCTGCTTCAGGGGGTGCCACTCAAACCTCCCAGAGGTGGAAGCACGGCGCGGCCTCGCTCCGCTTTCACAGGGAGGAAAAGCCTCGTCGGGTGCCTTGGGAAAGCGCTGGGTAACGCGGCTCGGGCTCGGCCAAGGGCTTGACAAACTTTCCTATTAATAAAAAGCCTTTTGATGTCGCTGGATCCAGCGTAGAGCCGTGGAGGGGG